CTCACACAGATCCAGGCAGTGACACTCACACAGATCCAGGCAGTGACCCTCACACAGATCCAGGCAGTGACACTCACACAGATCCAGGCAGTGACACTCACACAGAGCACACACTTGCTGGGACTCAGCACAAGGGACTGTCAGTGGAGCTTTTCCTGCATTCTCAGATCTGTGCATGCAATGTGGCTAAATTTGGTAGAAGCCTATTTTGACTGGCAAGCTGATTGCTTCAAAAGGGAGCAAAGGGAAAACCTGTGCACTGCTCCCTCCTACCAGTTCAACAATGTGTTTATCTCTACAGCAATCACGGGAGCATTTAAAATTATTTTTAGTTCCTTAATCCTAAAGCATGTTACTTACTGAAAGCCTCATAAACTTGGAGCAGACAGAAACATGTATTGCAGCCAAAGAACAGGATTCAAATACTCCCCTCTGCCCAGCCTTCTGTGTGTCAGGGTTTCTGCTTAAGCATCACATGAAACCCTGAACAACACAAATCAGTGAGTCCCAAACAACTTGCCTGATCAAACCTCCTCAGTGTTCTACCTCCAGTTATGCAAGAACAAGGAAAATGCAGTGACTGCCTTTGCCTCACAAGGAATTCTGGAGTCTTACCATGAGGTTTGATCACATCACAGTAACTTATGAACAAGCTGCAGACCAAGGGACAAATTTTAACTAAATGAGAGCTGACAAAAGCACAGCCAGGCAATGCTCCTGCACCAGCACTGCCTCCTGGGATAAACCCCATGTGTCCCTGGAAGCTGAGCCATGGTGCTGCCTTAGAGCCCCTCTGAACCCCGTGTTTACATCCCTGCTCTCCGAGCACATGCAGTTCAGACAGCTCAGGATCAACAGCATAAACCACCTACTATTTTGGTCAGGGAAAGGAGGAACAGGACTCCGTGACAGCCGGGCTGTCTGCCAGCAGCAGTGCCTGAGCACTGGCCTCACAAATGCATCTGGAACACGGCTGGGGGGGTTAAATCAACTTTAAAGCACATGTGCACCCTACTGTCACAGGGGCTAACTGCAGAAAGGGTCTGGCAAGGACTGCAAGTGGCACCTGGAAGCCTTAAACACCTCAGGAAAATGTGGTGTTTGTAATCCCTTTTTATCAGCAAAAATAAATAAATACATAAATAAATAAATAAAACTGGGTTGTGGGTTTTTTTTTTTCCTTTTGCTTTAGTCAAACAAATTAGAGGAGCTACAAAATCTGCTGAACTGTTCTCTCTTCACTGCTCCTGACAATCAGAGTGTCTGAAAGCAGTTTGTATTTGATGACGTGAAGCAGAGTTCACAGAACATGATGTGTTGTTTCAGTGTGATGAAGTACAAGTAACATGAGGCTAAACAAATATATAAGTAGGAAAGGGCAGAGTAAAACAAAAAATTACATGAAAAGGTTACATAAGTTTTGGGGTGTCATATATATGAAAAATAAATTTTATTTGCTTTGTGTATGCTTCGTTATACTTTTCAACAGCTTTAAAGTCTTCTCTCCAGCCTTAACTGCAAAATTATTAAACCAGTCGTTCTAGGATTATAAGGGCATAAAACCCACATCTGATTGCAATCTTCAAAAATTACTTAGTCACTCAGCCTGAAAAAAAATCACTGGTTCATGTCATCTGTGTAACCAAACACAATAAAGTCTGAATATCCTGTTTTGATTTGAACAGGAATCAAGAAACACCCTCTTAACAAACACCAGCGCTCACACACAACAGCGGGGGAGGGCTCCACGTCCCAAAAAACCTCCTATTTCTTGGAGGAGCTGGGCTTTTCCTGCTGTAGCCTTACGTGCAACTACAATACACGTCAACTGTTTACTGATGTATTTTCAGGGCCTGGGATAACATCGCTATGCTAAAAAAAGAGACACTATCAAAGCTGACTCACCTCCAGCCCAGAGAAACCCCAGGACATACTGTAAACCCTACAAAGGAACCCCCACCCTCCTCCACGCTCTCCAAGTGCGTTTACGTGTCAGACTGGAAACAATTTATTCCAGAGTCAGTGGTTCGGCCATTAACATTTAAAAGAGTGCAACTAATAACTGCTCCTTTAGGAGTTTGCATGCATTACACAAAAGATCCCTCACGCAACTTCAGAGAGGGCACCATGTGCTTAAAAACACCGACGGGCACTTCGGCTTTCGGGACGTACAAACCAAAAGGGCACTTCGGCTTGTCTGCGCTTCGTTTTTTAAGGAGCCTACCCCAAAAAAACCCCTTAATCTTCAGGGAGACACTGCAAGCCTGGAAGGCTCCTAAATTCTGCCTGAGCTACCCCAAAAGCCGGAGCCTTTGGGTACCGGGGGTGTTTGGCGGGGGGGGGGCCGGAGGTGTCCACGGACACCTGGAAGCGCCGGGATCCCACGGCGACATCCCGACGGCCCGTCCGCCCGCCGGGGCATTCCCGGGGCATTCCCGGGGCATTCCCGGGGTGCCCCCGTTCGCAGCCACCGCTCCAACTTTTATCCTCACACGCCCCCAGCCGTCGGCGCCGGGGCTCGGCGGCACGAACAAAGCCCCGCTCCGCTCGGACAGACCCCCCCTTCCCCCTCAGCCCGACGCCGCCGCTCCCCTCAGCGGGATCCCCCGCTCCCCGGGAGGGAGCCCCCGCGCCGCCCCTGCCCCGGGGGGGGG